CAGCTTTTCCAAGGGAAACGGGGCAGAATTGGCTTTTCCCAAGGGGAAATGGGCAGAATCAGCTTTTCCCAGGAAAATGGGGAAAAATCAGCTTTTCCAAAGGGAAACAGGGCAGAATCAACTTTTCCCATGGCAAATGGAGAAAAATCAGCTTTTTCCCAGGGGAAATGGGGAAAAAAAATCAGCTTTTCCGAAGGGAAATGGGACAGAATCAGCTTTTCCCATGAAAAACGGGGCAGAATCAGCTTTCCCAAAGCAAATGGAGAAAAATCAGCTTTTTCCAAGGCAAACCAGGAAGAATCAGCTTTTCCCAAGGCAAACAGAAAAATCAGCTTTTCCCCAGCAAACAGGAGAAGTTGGAAGGGCAAAACACTCTGAAAAGAAAGGTTAATCTGAGTCTGCAACCTATAACACACACACAGAACTTCAAGCTGCTCACCCAACTTGATATCCTTGGATTTTTTTCCTCTGGGAAACCTTCAGTGCCACGTGCCAGCCTTTCCAAATATTTGGGTTACCTCTACCACTCGTGTTTTACTTCTCTGTCCCTGAGCATCAACCTCCAGACTCTGTTGCCTCACAGCCTGCAGCCCCACCAAGAATCTCCTTCATGGGTTATTCCTGGGATTTTATCACAGCTTTTAATGCATTATTCCCAGGATTCTACCACAGTTTTTTTTTTAATGGATTATTCCCAGGATTCAAATCAGCTGCCTCAAAAACCTTGGGAACATTTCCCTGCTGCTGTCACCTCCTCCAAAACCCCACCAGGGCTGTTCTCTGMTTCCTGGGCAATGAGGGATTTGCTGGGAAGGCACAAAGTGGCACCTCCAGAGCTCTGCTGGGTTTTGACACTGGGAAAATCCAGCTTTCCTTCCCAGCAGGAGAAATCAAACACCTCACAGAAGCTTTATGGACACTCTCATGAACTCCCAACAATAATTTCAGCTGATTAAAGAGCAGGATTTGATTTCTTAATCTTCTGTGAGTAACCAACTCATAGATTAAAACAAAATCTGAAATGATCTCCAAAAAAASGTGGGATGATTTGGCCTCCCAGTGCATTCTGTAAGGAACAGTGGAATATTTGGGAATATTTTGGAACAACTCCCTCAATGTCGCTGCTTTTTGGGGATGGGAAAAAATCAGATCTATTCCAAGCCTTCCCCAATTAACTCCAGACTGTTAATTCAGGGGGAGATCAAATGGAGCCGTGCCTGTCTTGGCCTCAGGCCTAATTGTGGTTTTAAAAAGGGTGTTGGTTTAACTGAAGCACCAAGTTTACCTTCCTCATGGTTCCAGAAGGACTTTGGAAAATCAAGAGTGGGGAAAATGTGTCTGAACAGTTCCCTGGGCTCTGCAAGAGGCTGGGGAAGGCTGGAAAACCAACAGATGCTCTGCTCTGGTAGATCAAAGTATGGAATTGGAACAAATGGGGATCCTTTCCCAGGCTCAGAGAATTCCAAAATGGTTTGGGGTGGAAAGGATCTTCAAATCCATCTCATCCCACCCCAACCATGGGCAGGGACACCTCCCACTGTCCCAGGCTGCTCCAAGCCCTGTCCAACCTGGCCTTGGACACTGCCAGGGATGAAGTGACCACAACTTGGTGTTTAAATCTGATTTTCCTCAGCATCCCAGAGGCCTGAGATCCCCTTTGGGAGCCCCTGCAGCTCCTCCTGAGTGCTGAAGGTGCTGCCAACAGGGAAAACCCACGGGAATGGCATGGCCAGAGYGACATTCCCAGTGTCTCCATGGGGTGTGCACTGGGAAAGGAATAAAACAGATAAAAAGCTCATTTTCTGTATGCTGGACAAATAAAAGCTTGTAGAAATCCAGTTGTGTTTTCTGATTCAAATCCA